TGAGGCTCCATCACAGGCTCCATCACAGGCTCCATCACAGGCTCCCACAGTGAGGCTCCATCACGGCTCCATCACAGGCTCCCACAGTGAGGCTCCATCACAGGCTCCATCACAGGCTCCCACAGTGAGGCTCCATCACAGGCTCCCACAGTGAGGGGCTCCATCACAGGCTCCCACAGTGAGGCTCCATGACAGGCTCCATCACAGGCTCCCACAGTGAGGCGCCATCACAGGCTCTGAAGGGAGAGACCCAAGCACCTATCCCACTGCTAGCTGCCAAATCGTGGGCACACCATGCAGTCTGTCAGTGTCCTTGCCTCTAAAATGGGGCAATGAGTGACCCACTCCACAGGACTGTTGTGGAAATCAGATGGTACTTTTAAATGGCTCAACTCAGTGACTAGTACGTGAGTGAGCGCTTCACAGACGTTAGTGATGAGGAGGATGATGGGGCGTATCACAGGAGAGGAGTAAAACTAGGCTTAAACATTTGTTTCGAAAGAATGAACAGTGTTTACAACTTACTAACACTACTTAGTGCAGGCTTAGCTGTATCTCCTGAAGTTACTCTATTGCTAGAATACATGCGTGCACCATTAACAAAACCTGACTTCCTAGAGACACCCCCAGCCACTGATTTTAATCTCTGCCCTACAAGCATGAGTGGCCATGTGACAGCGGAGGGGGAGGGAAAGCCTAACGGGACACGTTTACATCTTACCTAAGGAAAACACAAATGCCTTTCTGTTCTAACATTTCTAGAAGGATAAATCCAGTACAGAGAAACTACTTTTAACTAGAACCCAGTTAACTGGATGTCATGCTACTATTTTTGGCAGAAAGAAGCTAGCATATCACGAGGAAACGAGTCTCGCCCCAAAGCGTCATTTTTGAGAAGCAGCATTCAGGAGACGCCTGGAATCGTTACAAAGCCACCAGAGTCTCTGCAGCCAGATAACGGATGCGGCGCCTCCAACACTGGAACCTCCATGTAAACCAGTGCTACCACTACCCTGCCACACAGCCATAATCCACTTCAGGACGGTGACGCTGACAGCAAGAGGTCTACAGCTTGAGTTATTAAGAGCTAACGACAAAACCAAAGAAAGAGTACATTTGAAACCAAAAGTGGTTTCTAGAAACTCTTAATAAAGAAAACCTAAATCAGCTAAAATGCCCCCATCCCACAGCATCCTGACTCAGCAGGGTTTCCTGCACACTCGTGATAAAGGTCCTCATTCTGACCTCCTGGTGGAAAAAACTTAGCACACGAGTTTGTTTTATGGGGCCATTTAAATCCTATAAAGCATCTATTCCGTAACTGCTTATTAACACTTATAATACATGAAGGACTAGAAAGGGGCATGGTCTGGGCTCCTTAGGCCAGGCAAACAACCAGAAGGTCAGGGCTGGGACCGAGTCTGTGCACTTCATGCAGGTTCCCAGGTGGTGGTGCTGGTGCTGTGGGTCCCGGGCCCGCACGGCGGGGACTACGGAGTTACAGAACCACTGTGACAGTATTCATGGCTCCCAGAAGGTCCTTTGGCACTAGCGCATCTAGGCTGTGCCTTGAAGCCAGCGTGGAGTCTGGGTTCTCACTGCAGAGGGAGACGGGAGGATGCAGGTGAGCCCAGCAGCAGGAGGCAGCGCCTCTTCCTGGAGTGTGGGGTACGCCTCTCCCATGAGTGGGACATCAGTGAGTCCAGGGAACCACACAGTGGGAATACTCACGGAACGTTCATGGAGTGAGTGGACAAGTAAATCACTGAATGGATACCTAAGTGTGACCTAACACTTCTAAACAGTTTTTAGAAAACTGCTTCTAGAATTCAAATTAAATTCTATCCTTAAAACAGTGTGATGACTTGGATACTACTTCCAAGTTCAAGTTGGAAATCACTATTTTTAATGCATATACTACTATATCTGCTTAGAAACAGGAGTATATTTCTTACCGTCTACAGAGCCAAACTCCCTTTCGTGCGCACGAGTGAGAATCTCTTTGTACAGTGTTTCTGCTTGCTTGAATTTGCCTTGTTTCAGATAGCAGGATGCCTTAAAATAAAAAAGTATTTATATGAAGTATTTATACGAAAGTATCATATACAAAGAAAGCATACACTTTTATCCACAGACTAAATTATGAAACAGTTCAGATTTCAGAGAAATAACAATTCAGGCATTAAAAACATTCGCTCTGCAGACGACTCCCACCAACACACCAGGTTGTTCTTCGTTTTGGCCACGTTGGGGTCATCAGGCCCCAGTTTGGTCTGGTAGATCTCCAGGGCCCGCTGGTAGTAGTACTCCACCTCTTCGTACTTGCCCTGGTTCTGGCACAGCAAGGCCAGGTTATTTAACTGCTTGGCAACATCTGGGTGATCCTTTCCCAGAACCTGGGGATAAAAAACTATGCATTAGAAACACCTGTTTGTTTCACTGCCATCCAATCCATTCCCACCCTCAGGAAGAAGAGCTTTCTGAAGCATGAACGTGGCTAGGCCACACACCAGGCTCACCGTCTTTACCTGCCCCGCTGCCGTTTAATAGAAGTGACGAGCCAGCCAGCAGAGTGAGGCCTGACTGCGGGTGGGGGTGCTGATCCCCTTCACACGCTTTGCCTCACCAACTCTTACAACCAACCCACAAGGCAGGGCACGCTATCACGCACGATCTAAAGATGAGGAGGGCTATGTTGACTTGATTGCCAAGTCCTAGAGGAGCTCGAACTTCAACCCAGCCCTTCTGGACTCTAAAACCTCATGTGTTACACACTTCCTGACTACAAGCCTTCAAAGTAAACCTCAAACTCTTCACTCAGAACCTCGCTGTCCCTGCGGGAGGGACCCCAGGCCCTCTGCCCGTCCCACGCTCCGGCTCCCTCCCGTTTCCACTCCACCAACTGTGAGCTCTGCTCCCTCAGGACTCTGACCAAAGGTCATCTCCTCAGAGGGGATGTCCCTAGACCCCAATTAGAGTAGCCCTCGCCCCACCCCCACCAGTGACATCCTGAGCAAGTCACCTGGCTTTTATTTGCAAGTATCACTGCCTGGAATTACATCATCTTTCCATCTTTTTAGTGGATTACTGCCCGATCCCCACCCATTACAATGTAAGCCTGTCTTCCTCACCGATGTAACCTCAACATCCAGAGAGGGCCTGGAAGAGCAGGCAGGAAACTACTCTTTAGACGCAACAAGCACTTCATTCTCTCAGCCGGAGCCCAGGTCAGGTTCCCTCTTGACCTCTCCCCTTCCCTATCTCCTGGCTCAAAGCCTGGCCTCCTCTGGAGCCATCCCCACTGCCCACCAAGGTCTGACCTGGCCCAGCTCCGCCCGTCCTCTCCCAGTGCTCAGTACTAGACGCCAGCACCAGGCCTCTCGAGGCCTAACTGGGCTTTGATCTGGAAATCGCCAAACCCCACCAAGCCAGGGCTCAAGTCCTCAGGAAGGTCTTGCTAAGTGGGAGAATGAAAGAGCAGATATGTGGACTTGTTGGGCATCTGTGACACGTGACCCTTCATCTGCTGTATTTGTGCCTCTCTGATGATCGTAACCCCAACCAACCAAAAACTCACTGCTGTTGAGTTGATTCTGACTCATAGCGACCCCACGGTCCACTCAAAATCTGACCATTTTATTTCGTATCATGCAGATGACGTGACAAAACTGAACATGCGTAATTTGATAACAAACCCCTTTTCATTTTCCCTCTCCCACTTCCCTGCCATACGTCTCATAACTGTCAATCTCCCAGTATCAACTACACTGATAAATGACCACAAAAAACACCAGGTTATCTGCTGGTTAAATTATGAAACAGAGTTCTGATTTTGGAGAAAAAACAATGACCTTTGGTCCTGGGCCTGAATCTCTCTAACATCTGAACAGAGTACTGCTGAAATGAGCAAACTAGTTTTTTCAAAATCTAATTACCACAAACTGTAGAAGCTGGTATTAAGTATCCAAGTACACTCTTAATATTATACTTTTCACCATTTCCCTCATTTAACAGCAAATATCAATTAAATGCATAACTGACAAAGCTTTATGTTGAAAAATATAGAAAAAAAAAATACAACCTGTTTGCAAAAGCAGACTTAATTTTTTAGCTCTGAAAATAATTATTTAATTTTTAAGCTTCATAAAGCATATTTTGCAAATATTTTTTTTTTTAATTTTAGTATTTTTCTTATTGACAATTACCTGCCCCCTCGTCAGATGAAATGCTCCCAGCTCCCCTCCCAGTCCTCAGAAACTCTTTCTCAAGGGAGCCCTTTCTGGCCACCCTGGGCTCAGGACTCCCCTTTCTGAATACCCAGCCCTCCTAGACAGGTCTCAAGCACCTACTTGTACGGCCAGTCAGGCTTTGTTCTGTGGGCTGTGTGCCCACAGATGGTCAGTAACCACAGATCACAGAGGTCATTTCTCAAAACTGAGTGTTCAAATCAGGAGACAGGGTCTCGCTCTCGCACACCTTTTCTCTGATCTCCAGGGCCCTTTTGCACAGCGGCTCGGCCTCCTTGTACTTCCCTCTTTTCCCGTAGAGCACTGCAAGATTGTTCAGGGTCGCCGCCACCTGTCAAGACCAGAGAGCTCCTCAGAACGGCAAAAGCTACTAAAACACAGAGCATATGTATACAACACACAGTCACTGATACTCAGAGCGAGGTGCTCTTCACTGGATAAAACAATACCACCTCAGGTAAAAGCAAAAGAGCAACTCACTACAACACAGACAGATTAGAGAAAGTAACATTGAAGAATAGTAAAAATTAAACAAATCAACATCAACAGCACGATCTTGATTTTTCTTTATTTCACTGGAAGCCACAAAGCCAACCAAAACAAAGATCTGCATGAAAATCTGACCAGATTTTAATAAAAAGTCAATGTAAATTCTTTAGAAAAAAATTTATAGAGGTACATGCGATTTGATTTAGGATCAAAAACCGAGGTCCGTGACCCATTTGGGGTTGTGGCCGTGGACAGATGAAATGTGCACTGGGCGTGCTGACCGTCAGGGCCCCAAGGTGGACGCTTACCCTCGGGTTAAGTGAATGAAGACCTCCTACCTGCACCCCTGTGAAATGGCAGCTCTTACCTTCCCTGTTGAGTTTAATATTAAAGTGAGTCAGGTAAAAAGCTTATCAGGGAAACAAAACGTGAAAAGGGTGAAAGAAACAGATATACAAACCGCAGGGTGATCTCTGCCCAAAGTCTTTTCACGGATAGCCAAGGCGTCATTCAGTAGATTGGCTGCATCTTTGTATTTGTTCTGATCCCTGAATGGAAAACACACGTGAAATGTTTTATGTGCGGCTCACCAGGTCACCTTCTGTCGGAGTAACTTTGGAACTGTGCAATGAAAGGGGAGCTTCGACTATTTAAAAACGAAGAGTCAGTACTTCAACTGTCTACACACAAAGCAGACCCTGGCGAGGGAGCGGGCGGGGAGGAAACTCGTCAGTCCGTGCACTGCCCGGTGAGCCGTGGAATCAGGTAGTACAGATCCTGGATCCTCTGCTGACGAGCTTTCCGGGCCTGGACCCCCAGCCCGCGTCCCTAGACCTAAATCACGGGACAGCGCTGTTCCCGCAAGCGTGTTTCTGGGAAGGCTAAATGGCAGTGCAAGTGAGGCAGTCCAGAGCAGACGGAGCCTGGGGGTGGGCATCGGACGGATCTGATCCCAGGCTCTCAGCTCTGGCTCTGCCACTGAGTAGCCGTGTGGCTTTGGGAACACTGACCAACACCTCAAAGTCCCAGTGGTCCCATGTGTAAAATACCTGTATCACCTGATTCACAGTGTTGCTGTAAGAATTAAGTATGATGATGATGACATGCAACATTTAAAATGAAAAGACCTTTTTAAAAATAGAGTAAATAGATTCAAGATGTACTAGTATCTTGACTTAGGAGCCCTGGTGACGCAGTGGTTAAGTGCTTGGCTGATAACCGAAAGGTCGGTGGTTTGAAACCACCCAGCAGCTCCCCAGGAGAAAGTCCTGACGATCTGCTTCCATATAGATTACAGCCTTGGAAACCCTATGAGGCAGTTCTACTCTGTCCTGCGGGGTTGCTATCAGTCGGAATTGACTCAACGGCAATGGGTTTGGGTTTTCTCTTGATTTAGTGCACAATCTGCCACCGTTTTCTTTCTGACTGTGGTAGATAGAGACGCCGGCGACCCAGACCTCGGTTTAAATGTGTGGCTCACCACCAACGACACTGTGAGCAAGCGGCTGCTGTTGAGCCTCAGAACACAGAGAACTCGCTGCTACCCTACGAGGCTTTGCCCTGCAGACCGCGAGCAGGGTGAGGCCTCCAGGACCTCGCAGGCACCCGAATTCTAGCCAAGGGCATTGTTTCATGTTTTTCTTTAATTACTCTGTTAACACATTACAAGCTGCCACAAACTTATTTCGAGAGTCAACAGGTATGAAATAAGTTTCAAAAACTAGTAAATACAGTAAAAGGCCAACTACCTGACAGAGCTGTGAGACCTAAACAAGATGGTACCCTGAGCACTTCTGACAGAAGGTCTGGGGTTGCTAAGCAGACACTGGCAAGGTCAGCCAAGCCCTGGAGCATGCTTCCCAAGTGCTGCCCCCAGGCCAGCTGCCATCAACCTTCCCTGGGAACTCAACCTGGGAACAAAGATTCCAGGGCCCCACCCCAGACCTACTGATTCAAAAAGTGGGGGGCGCCAGCAACCTGTAACTAATAAGCTCCCCAGGAAATTCTGACTCCACTATAACTGGAGAGCCACTGCTATTCTGTTGCTCAAGACAGAAGCTGAGAAGGTGGTTAAGAACAAAACGCTTCCCAGACAACAGCTCAGTTCTTGAGGCTGCCGTTGTTGTTGCTGCGCGCCATCGAGTCGATTCCAACTGACAGCGACCCTGTAGGACACAGGAGAACTGCCCCACAGGGTTTCCAAGGAGCGGCTGGTGGATTCAAACGGCTGAGCTTTTGGTTAGCAGCCTGAGCTCTTAACCACTGCGCCACCGGGGCTCCTCTCAAGGCTAAGAGAGGTGAAAGTGGTCCCCAAAATGGAAACAAAAGTAAGGAGTAAATCTTAATAGAAAAATGGACAAGACACCACAAAACTCACAGAAGAAAACGAAAGACCACAAATACACGACCCATTCAAGAAGAGTAAGAGATGACTCAGGCTGCCCCCAGGCTGGTGAGCCTGGGGCGGGGGTGGGAACCTGCACGACCTTCTCCAAAGCAGCTCAGTCCCTGTCAGGAGTTGGCCAAATGTCTATCCTCTACTTAGCGCATTTTAGGAACTGATCCTAAGAGGAAAGAATCCAAAATCCTCAACAAAGCTTATAAAGATGTTCATCAGTATACTAATAGCCAGAAAGAAAGCTGACGTTAAATGTCCCACAAGGGAATGATGAAATAAATTACACTACAGCCACGGATGGAGTACTGAAGATGAAATATAGACAGCCACTAATTTACTTTTTCAAACTTTATACAGATATGGTAACTCTCATGCTAAAATGTTAAGGAAGAATACAGGACTAAAGAGACGTCACTGAATCCCCAGCACACGGCAGGGTGATACCTGTCATCTGTATGTTGATGTATTTACCCAATACTAAAGAACATACGCAAAAATGTCGCTCTGCTCTTAGTGGTTAACTCTATTCGTGGGTGATTTTTAGTTTGAACCTTTCTATATATTCCAATGTCTCTGCATCAAGTATTGTATAAACAGGAGAAACAACAAAACCAAAAAGTTATGTTCTTTGGGTGGATTTTTAACTCGTTTGTATTATCTAGTGTTGGCTAGATCATGTGCTATTAGAGGCCATGAACACTTAAAAAATGTTTTTACAATGAAATTCAGCATCATCTATCAAGATTTTATACACAATACCTGTGACTAGAAAACTCCTGCAGTGTTATACCCGTAAAAATCTGCAAACCACCTAAGTGTCTACAGGACAAAGGTGAGACAGAGACTAACACACACACGGCACAGCTGGCAACAGGTCCTGCCGGCAAGCTGCAGATACAGCTTCGTTTTAAGTAGCGCTGTTATGGCGCTTTCTTTTTCTGTGGATTTTGGGTTTTTTTTTTTTTGTATTTTACCAATGTTTAAAAATTGTTTTAAAAAATCACTTATCCACATGGATGTGTGGATTACTCCACTTCTCTTCCAGCATCACTGGCCCCATGCGCCACCCCCCACGCCCACCCACTATCCCTGTCCTTGCTCAGATTCCCAATATCACATCCCCAAGCTCCCAACAAGCCCATTGCCTGGTCGCCTCGCCTCCAGGCTCCGGCCACCAGCCCGTCCTGTACCAGCTGCCCACAGCCCTCCTGAGCATGGCCTGCAAGGCCTCCTGACCAGGTCCAGCCCGAGCCCAACCTGTCCACGTGCCACACAGCTTTCCCAAACACTGCCCACCTCCACCTGCTGAAATCCTACCCATCCTTCAGGGTCCAGTAAAAAGCACCCTCTCCTCCATCACTTCCTCCCTAAATCCTCTCAACTGGCAGAAATCTTTCTGTTCCAGTAACACTTCTGTATTCTTTTATTAACACACCATAATCTCCCAGCATCTATAATTATACATATGGACACAAACAGCATATTTCCTGAATAGGGCTCTAAGTTCCTTTAGAAACGGATTTAGATAATGCCCTTAGAATGTCTCCTATCTGCCAGGCACTACATACAACCCTCCCCGTGGAGCTCTCAGCATGGTATCGTAACCACCTCCACTTCAGATATGAGGAAACTGAGGCCAGAAAAGCTGACTGCTCAGAACATCACCCGTCTAGCAGGCCCTGAGCCCAGATCCAACCTGAACCCTCCTGCCTTTAACCACAAAATTCTGTTTCGTTTCGAGACCAGGAATTCCATCTTCTACCTCAAGGTCCAGAGACTCACACAGTTGGCTTTCAAAAACACTTGTTGACCTGGAAAAGCCAAACCAATGCAGAAAAATAAAGCAGGTAACTGAGACCCACGAAACTGGAGTGGCCTCGGGCAACAAGTCCTGCTGGTTCCTGTCCTGGTCCCCTCCTCCCGGTGCCCGCTCACCCTGACCCATTCTGTGCTGGTTAGCGCTGCGACATACTGGCCCAAGGACCAGCCAGGGGCGCCTTCCTCCAATGGATCACCTCCCAGTGCATAAGGGGCAGAGGGTCCACTCCACTCAGCATGTCTGCCAGGAACCTCTAAGGGTAGGTCAACATGCTAGCATAACGGGGGGACGGGGCCGTGAAGCCCACCTGGTCCTCACCTTCGAGGATCAATATTCCAATAGGAGAGACAGCAGAACCCAAACAACCCCATGCCATGCATAATGAGGAAGAAGGAAAAGAGGCATGGGAGAACAATGGGGCAAAAGACAAGCGGAACCTGAGTTGAAAGAGGAGAACAAGTTAACAGAGCCCTCGAAAGGCAGGGAGGACACCGACAGGTGTGAGCAGGAGGACACAGGAGGCGAGAGAGACCTGATGCAGAGACTTGTGGGAGAATCACAGTCAGTCAGTCGGGCCAGGGCGAAGGGGCAACACTGGAGCTTCTGCTAGAAGGCTGGATGGTCACAGCCAGCACGTTCCCCGCTGGTGATGTCTCTGCCATAACGACCAACCAAACCCGTTGTCACGGAGTCAATTCCAGCTCCGAGCGACCCTACAGGACACACCAGAACTGCCCACAGGGTTTCCAAAGAGGAGCTGGTGAACTCCAACTGCCAATCTTTTTGTTAGCAGCCAAGCTCTTAACCACTGACCCACCAGGGCTCCTTGCCATACAGCTTACCCAACATTTGGAATTTAACCCCTGGATGTTTGAAGAGAAGTGGACGAGGTTAGAAAAGGAGCGTACACAGGCTTCCAAGACAGACTGGAAGGGCGAGTGCACGAAAGGTAAAGCAGGTGAGCGGCACGGAGAGGCACTACCTGTACACCAGGGCCAGGATGTTCAGCATCGTGGCCACGTCTGGGTGGTCGTGCCCAGAGGTCTTCTCCAGATCCTCCAGGGCCTGCTTGCAGAGCGGCACGGCGACTTCGTAGCGGCCCTGCGACGCGTACTGGATGACGAGGTTGTGCAGGGTGCGCAGCCGCGCCGGGATCTCGTAGCCGCCCTGCTGGGCGGCAGCCGCTGCGCTGCTGTGCTGCTGCTGAACTGAAGGGACAAGGCGACATCAAGTATGTTTTTACAGAAGATCACCCAGAGAAAGCACATTATTGGACACTGTCTTCTCTAGCTTCTGTTCGAGTTAGCCCTTGGCCCCTAGGCTCTTTTCCCAGGACTCCTTCAGCAAGCTGGATATTAACAACTTGTCAGGGGAGGGGGCAAGGAGATTTCTCTTGAGTGTCAGAAAAACTAACCAAAACAAGTTATGTTGACCTTGCTCACTCTGCAAGACCAGCACAGATCACATCTGAACCGTCCCTACACACCCGTTCCCTAAGGTCTGGCCTAACAGTCTATATCCCCCAAAAACAAAAACGGCTGTACATTCTTTAGGAAAAGAGACAAGGCATAAAGAAATCCAATACATCTGTAAGACAAAAGGCAAGGTACGTGTGCTCCCGCTAATGATGCCAGCGACACCCCAAGAGGAGAGATCTTTCTGACACTGGAGCACGCCACACGTCACTCACTGCCTTGGCCGGGGTCATCCTCGTCATTCGGGAAGAGGTCATCCAGAGGTTCTTTGGCTGCATCAGCGTCCCTGTCCTCCTATAAGACAGACCCAGAACAACCCTGAAGTCCAGCAGGCACAGTAACTTCTCTGTTGAAAATCCTCATTATAAAAATCATTCCAATTGAAGAGTTTAGGAAAAAAGTCCATTTTTAGGATAAAATATAGGATCATCCACATTTGACTTATCCATCAGCTTAGTGCAGAATAATACAGTCTGCTAGACTAGAGCACAGACAACTTGACACAGGCCTTGGTGTGGCCATCAGAGCATCACCCATTTCTACGCTTCAGGTTATTCACCTGTCTGTTGAGGGGGTTCAGGTAGAGCAGTGAAACCCGTACTGAGATGAACGCTTATTTGGAAACCAAATATGTAAAAGCAGATTAAAATGGCGCTTCTCGGATCTCTGCAGGAACAGAGGGACTACGCAGCCTTCCTCTGTCCATGCCCTCTTCACCCTGCCCACCAACCACGCAGAACCCGTATGGATTGAACTGTGCTCCCCAAAAAAGTCCTAACCCCTGCCCAGGTGAATGTGAACTTGTTTGAGGAAATAGTTTTCCTCTGTAGATGTTAACGGCTGAGGAAATCATAGGGAAGCAGGGGGCCCTAATCCCAATCCCTTCTGCATGGTGTCTTATAAAAGAGAAGGACAGAGAGACAAACCCAGAGGGGGAGACAGCACGGGAGAAGCCTCTTACAAGCCAAGGAGCACCAGGGCTCCTGGAAACCCTGAGAGAGCATGGCCCTGCGGACGCCCGGAATTTGGGTTTCAAGCCTCCAGACAATAAACCTCTGCTCTCTAGAGTCGCTGCTGCTGCAGTTACGGCAGCCCTGGGCACCAATACAACCCCCGAGAGCGGCTCCCACCTTCCAGCTTCAAGTCTCTGACTCCCGTCTCCCCACAGACTGCTGACTGGGGAAGAATACTAACCACACAATGGAGAAAACGAGCAGCTTGACCAGGTGAAGAACGAGCACCATCAATGGGGCAGATGAACGGGTCTCCCTCTGGAGGGGACGATCAAGGAGGACACAATCCCACTTTTATAATACTCCAGGCCGGAGGCATAGTGTGAAATATTCATAAACAAACACTGTTATAGGGTGCCATCAAGTCAATCCTGACTCAGCAACCCCATGCGACAGAGCAAAACTGTCCCATAGGGGTTTCCTGGCTGAAACCTTTATGGAAGCAGATTGCCAAGTCTTACTTCCGCAGACCGGCTGGGTGGGTTCAAACTGCCAACCTTTCTTTCAGTTAACAGCCAAGCGCTTAACTACTGTGCCACCAGAGACAAAAACCCAAACTGAGAAACACTGTATAAAACAATCGCCTGTATTCTTCAAAAGTGTCAATGCCACGAGAAACAAAGGCTGAGGCCCTGCTACGGGTGAGAGACGACTAAGAGACGTGACAGCTACACGCTCTCTACGTCCTGAGCCATGTCCTGAAACAGAAAGACGAAATGCTCCAAGGACGCTGCTGCGGAGACGGAATACACGTGGACCCCACGGCAGAGGAAGTACCCTCTAGACGGTCCATCCCGAACCTGACACCTGCACTGTGATTCTGCAGGACTCTGCCCTCAGCCTGGGGACAGGCACGTAGAAAGCAGCATGAGAAGCAGCGGGGGCCTGGGATGGATGGGGGCACTGCCCACCCCAACATGGCTCAGGAAAAACACTCACACCCTCAAAGAGCAGGGAGAGCCAGCTCACTGCATCTTTTCTATGACTCTGACATCTTTCAAAATAAAAACTTTAAAAAGTCTCTGCCTAGGAATTCAGCTTTCCCTTCTCATGTATGATCATGTGGTCCAGGTAAACCACCGGCTGGCGCCAACATTTCCACTTGTTCTTATTTCCAAAGCAGCCTCTAGCAGCGTGTCTTCTGAACCAAAGCGTTTAACTGTCCCCGACCCAGAGCTGTAACACGATACGGCAGGCGCAGGCTTGCTGGTGCTGAGCACAAGACTAGCCCGACAGTCTCGGGATGCGGGAGACAGACAGCGAGCCCACAGGCGTACTGGCTGTGTGTGTGCATGCCTGGCACAAGGCAGGCAGAAGAACTGTCAGCTCTACGTACAGTGTGGGATCCTGGACTGGATCCTGGAACAGCAAAAGGACACTAGTGCAGGGACTGGTGGAATCTGAATAAAGTCTATAGTTTTTAGTTACTAGTAATGTACCGATGGGAGCCCTGATGGCGCAGTGGTTAAGAGCTCGGCTGCTAACCAAATGGTCGGCAGTTCAAATCTACCAGCCCCTTGGAAATCCTTTGGGGCAGTTCTACTCTGTCCTATAGGGTCGCTATGAGTCGGAATCAACTCCATGGCTATGGGTTTGGCTTATGTTTTATTTTTTGGAATGTACCAATGTAGACTTCTTAGTCATGTAAGATGTTAGCATTAAAAGAAACTGGATGAAGGGAACATGGGAATTCTCTTAAGTCTCTTTGCAACTTTTCCGTGAGTCTAAAATTATTCCAAAATAAAGTTTATTTTAAAAAGAAGTTAACTGAATCAGAAACAATTAGTAGATGAAAAATAGTTGAGAATGGGATTAACATGTAAAGTGAGCTGACAGAAAAAGAAAAAACCAAAATCCTGGGAGCCCCAGCACTGCAGGAACAGAAAGGTAAGCTAGCACGGGAGCCGAGGAGGAGCACGGGAAGGGAGCAGAACCAGAAGGACACAGTCAAGATCACGAGCCCCAAAAGCTGCAGAAGTCAGGGCGGAGCCTGGGTCGCAGACAGCTGGGGCTGGCAGCACGGGGGGAAAGGAGCCGAGCAGGGCGACAGTGGGGACCAGCCTGCGGCAAGGGAGGCACGAGCAGGGCCTCACTCAGTTACAAGAATTTTCACATTTTCTCACCATTATTCTAAAAGCCAGAGCCCTGGTGGCACAGAGGTTAAGAGCTCAGCTGCTAATCAAAGGTCAACAGCTCAAATCTACCAGCCGCTCCTTGGAAACCCTATGGGGCAGTTCTACTCTGTCCTACAGGGTCGCTATGAGTTGGAATTGACTTGATGGCAACGGATTTGGTTTTTTTGAGTTATTCTAAAAGCCACAAAGGAAAAGAATATGGCGAAGAGAACTTACGGGACCTTCCGAGCGACACAGTGTAAGGGACTCAATTCCAAGACCCACCATCCTTGGTCTTGCCAAACACAACACCAAATGGGACAGGAAAAGACTCACAGCTTTACTGAAATAACCTACTGAACACCACATAGTAAGTGTCAACGCCAAACTCACGACAGAACCACTTACGGATGGAGAGATGTCATCATCGTATTTTTTTAACTGATTCATGAATTCCAGATGTTTCTTCTCTTCCTCCAGCTGGGCCACGGACTGCTCACTCTTCTGCAATTTCTGCTGGGTGTTGGCCAGCTCGTCCCGCAGCCACTGGTTCTCCTGGCACAGACGGCGGACCTGGGCGCGCAGCTTCTGCTTCTCTGACTCCACAGCATTCAGGTGATTGGACAGAGCCATCATCACCTGCACAGACAGACACGTGTCAACACTGTCCTCCAGCGTCCAGCAAGCACTGCCTTCCATCCATTTACGCAGTCTTTGGTTTTAACTCTAAGCCGACACGTGCACGTATTTTCTCCAATGTACATACGAGCTCAGCTTGCCTCTGAATTCCATTTCTACCCTTCAGCCACAGGCTACATGTGGGGCATGATAAAGAATACCGCAATAGACTCAGAACACCCACAAAAATTGTGCAGTCCTTCCCATCTGAGAGCATGTTGGTTGGAGGAGCAGTGTACACACAGCTACTCTTCCGAGGGAACTGTGTGTTTTTACTTTCTACCTAGATGCTCCCAACACAATTCTTGGAAAGAATGGAGAAAACCTTCTGTGTGTGAGAGACGTGTGTACACACACCCGTGTGCATGTGTAGAGGTGTGGGTGGGGCTGAGAAGAGCAGGACTACACATCTCCAGTGTTCTGAGAGAAGAGAAGGGGTCTCTGTAGCCACGGCACAGGGTGTTCACTAGCTCGAGTCTACGTGTCTACACCGTAAACCCAGGATTAGTTTCAGGAGCAGACCTGCTAGAGGCGAGAAGCAAGTTCCTAGGAGGACAAGAGCGGAAAGGCTAGGGGAAAAGCTGGCTGGCTTCAGTCTGTCCTCTCCCTAGATCATGTTCCCTCTTTATTCTCTCAAGTTTAAAACCCGAAACTCCAAAAGTGGAGTTGCTTCCTTCTTTCTTAATCCTAATATCTGCCAAACTAAAAAAGGAAGTTCATGTTCCTTTTCAGCAAGAGAACATGAGAAACAGCAGACTCACAGTAACCGAAGTTCCATTCCTATATCAGCACCTGTGATGTGGTTAGGATGAACAGCTCTCCAGTGAGGGTACGGAAGGCCACTCTGATAGAGGATCGCTTCCTTTATGAAAGCAGAAACCGCTAACCCAGAGCCTCTACTCTGCATCACTCAATCACTATACCAGAAGACAACTAAGAAAGAAGCTAATACTTAGTGTATTTAATTTTACCTAAGATATGTTGGCAGAGACAGCAGCTTCCAGAAGTTATTATGAGAGGGGAAAAAAAAACCAAAAAACTTAGATGTTCCCAGCTTTTTCATCTGTTTCCAGCATGACAGAAACAAGGTTTCTTCGAGTATGCACAGCAAGATGTGCTAGGGTACCGCCGAGACTGCTAGCTGCCAGCCGTCGCCCCCTCACCCCTTCCTCCTTAGGCAGAACCTGGAAGTCTAAGAGGGTAAGGCAGCATTCCCAGCCCAGCCCAGCCATGTAGGCACGCTCAGCCAATGAGATTTAGCAGAGTCTTGTGTACAACTTCCAGGAAGGAACCTCACAGGGAGGCAGCCTGTCCTTCCTGATCCCTCCCCACCTGGAGGCCACCTGCCAGGGTGTGGCACAGCAGGGGGGGAGGAGCCTGATGACCTTGCTGCTGAAACTATGTGGGACAGCCTCCCTCAGTACCTGCTTTATGCAAGAGAGATGCCTGTTTGTGTTGTTTAAGCCCCTGAGACCATTTTTGATATACGTAGCCAAATTAAATCCTAAATGATAAACAGGTTTCCTTTACTCTGACTCTAATGTTTTAAAATTCAGATATGCACGAATCTATAATCCTTTATATAACATCCACAACCCACATCCGAGCTGATCTCTGCTATTCTCTAAGTATCTTCCCCAAACTTTAGTTAAAATGCATCTTTCGAATCACACCTCCATTTTTCCAAAAGGTCAAGTTGAGGCCCAAGCCATTCTCATCTACACCTGTGCAGTTCCCGTCTATACCTGTGCCTCGCTCAGGCCAAGCTCCAGCATTTCCAGTGACTTGCGGATCATGTTGGATTTTTCTTCCACCAGGTTACTTTCATCATCTTTCTTCAAACACTTCAGTGTCTCAAGTAAACTTTGTAAAATGGAATTATGCTCATTCTTCAGAGCCTCCAGCCCCTGAATTACTTGCTTTGTCTTAGAAATAATTTCATCCTGTGTAAGCTTCTCCAGCTTGTCTTCCTTTATATACACCATTGTGGACATGTTGTCATACATCCTAGAATGGAAAAAGGAAAAAAAAATTAAGACATCCTATCACAGGTTTAATCTGTTAGATCTTCAATAAAGTCTCCATGTGTCAACATTTTTAAATGAACATTTTTAGAGGCGGATAATAAATATGTGTTTATCATTTAGTACCTTGACATACTATCTTCTATATAGTTCCTGGGTTTCCAGACCAATTTAATTACTTTTCTGGCTTATGTCTGGATTCTTTTTGATGGGTGAAATAACAGCAATGGAAACTAATGCCAAAGATTAAAAGTAGGAAAACATCCAATGGCATTTGCAAAAAACAGCGCCTCACCCAACAAAAATTCCTCTGAATGTTTGTACGCTTTTTTTTTTTCTTAAAGAAATGCAGAAAATGAGGGCTGTGGAGACGAAGGCCTTGGGGAACATCTAGCTCAATCGGCATAATAACATAGTTTATGAAGACAATGCTCTACATTCTACTTTGCTGAGTAGCGTCTGGGGTCTTCAAAGCTTGTGAGGGACCATCTAAGGTACTCCACTGGACCCACCCCGTCTGAAGCAAGGGAGAATGAAGAAAACCAAAGACACAAGGGAAAGATTAGTCCAAAGGACGAATGGACCACAACTACCACAGCCTCCACCAGATTGAGTCTAGCACAACTAGATGGTACCCAGCTATCACCACTGACTGCTCTGACAGGGATTACAATATAGGGTCCCAGACTCAACTGGAGAAGAATGTAGAACAAAATTCTAACTCACAAAAAAAAAAGACCAGACTTACTGGTCTGACAGACGCTGAAGAAATCCCGAGAGTATGGTCCCCAGACATCCTTACAGCTCAGTACTGAAGTCACTCCTGAGGTTTACCCTTCAGCCGAAGATTAGACAGACCCAGAAAACTAAAACGAGACTAAATGGACACACCAACCCAGGGGCAAGGACGAGAAGGTAGGAGACAGGAAAGCTGGTAATGGGGAACCCAAGGTCGAGAAGGGAGAGTACCGACATGTCGTGGGGTTGGCAACTAATGTCACAAAACAATATGTACATTAACTGTTTAATGAGAAACTAGTTTGCTCTGTAAACCTTCATCTGACGTACAACTAAAAAAAAAATTTAAAAAAAGAAATGCAGAAGTGCCACTAAACTCTTGGTAACCTATTTAACCAGAAGTCTTGAGACGTGGCCACATAGCCCGAAAAAGGAAGGAAAAAACAGCAGAACAAGGGAGCAATAGGGGCAGCAGCAGAACTAGACTAGACCAGTGTGAGGCACGCTAGGACAGTGAAGCAACCAAGACTGAGCCATACTGTAAAGACTGAAGAAGGTTCCTACCATATGACCCAGAAATTCCACTCCTAGGCATACACCTCTCCCCAACAAAAAAAAAAGGAACACAAACAAATACATGTACACCAAAGTTGATTGTAGCATTATTCACAATAGCCAAAAAGTGGAAACACCTAAACGTCTAACAAGAGATAAACGGATAAACCAAATGTGCTACGTGTATACAGTGGAGCATTACTCAGTCATAGAGGGGAATGAAGTCCTAACACACACCACAACGCGGATGAACCTTGAAAACATGTACTGAGTGAAATACGTCGGTCACAAAAGGACAAATACCGTACAATCCCACTGATGTGAAATACCTAGAATTTGGCAAATGTATACAAATCAAAGTTTATTAATGGTTACCGAGGGGGCGGGGGAAGGGGCGTCACTGTTTAGGGGGCACAGAATTTCTGTTAAGGGTGACGGAAAAATTTGAAACAGATATGATGGTCGTACACCATGTTGTTGCTGTTGTTAGGGGCCACTGAGCTGGCTCTGACTCACAGTGACCCTATGTACAACAGAACAAAACACTGCCCTGTGCCACGCCATCCTCACAACTGTTGTTATACTTGAGCCCACTGTTGCAACCACTGTGCCAATCCATCTTGTAGAGGGTCTTCCATCTTTTTACTGACCCTCTACTCTACCAAGACTGATGTCCTTCTCCAGGGACTGGTCCCTCCTGATAACATGTCCAGGGTATGTGAGGCGAAGTCTTGCCATCCTTGCTTCTAAGGAATGTTCTGGCTGTACTTCCTCCAAGACAGGTTTGTTTGTTCTTCTGGCGGTCCATGGTATATTCGATATTTTTCGCCAACACCATAATTCAAAGGCATCAACTCTTCTTTGGTCTTCCTTATTCATTGTCCAGTTTTCACACAGATGAGGCAACTGAAAACACCATGGCTTGGGTCGGGTGTACCTTAGTCCTTAAAGTGACATCTTTGCTTTTTAACACCTTAAAGAGGTCTTTTACACCAGATTTGCCCAATGCAATGTGTCGTTGGATTTCTTGACTGCTGCTTCCATAGGCGTTGATTATGAATCCAAATAAAATAAAATCCTTGATAACTTCAATCTTTTCTCTGTTTGCCATGATACTGCTTATTGGTCCAGTTGCTGTAATTTTTGTTTTCTTTATGCTAAGGTGGAGCCCTGGTGGCACAGTGGTTAACAGCTCAGACTGCTAACCAAAAGGTCGGCAGTTCAAACCCACCAGCCGCTCCTTGGAAACCCCATGGGGCAGTTCTACTCTGCCCTATAGGGTCGCTACGAGTTGGAATTGACTCAATGGCAACTTTTTTTTTTTGTTTTATGTTAAGGTATAATCCATACTGAAAGCTGTAGTCTTTGGTCTTCATCAATAAGTGCTTCAAGTCCTCTTCACTTCCAGCAAGTAAGGTTGTGTCATCCGCATAACACAGGTTAATGAGTCTTCCTCCAATCCTGATGTCACGCTCTTCTTCACACAGTTCAGCTTCTCGGATTATTTGCTTAGCGTACAAGTTGACTGAGTCTGGTGAAAGGATAAAACCCTGACGCACACCTTTCCTGACTTTAAACCACATAGTATCTTCTTGTTCTGTTCAAACGACTGTCTCTTGGTCTATGTACAGGTTCTCCGTGAGCACAATTAAGTGTTCTGGAATTCCCATTCTTTGCAATGTTATCCAGAATTTGTTATGATCCACACAGTCGAATGCCTTTGCATAGTCGATAAAACACAGGTAAACATCTTCCTGGTATTCTCTGCTTTCAGCCAAGACCCATCAGACATCAGCAATGATATATCCCTTGTTCCATGTCACCTTCTGAATCCAGCTTGAATTTCCAGCAGTTCCCTGTCAATGTACTGCTGGAACCGTTTTTTAATGATCTGCAATAAAATTTTACTTGCATGTGATATGAATGATATTGTTTGATACTTTCAAGATTCTGTTGGATCACCTTTCTTTGGAATGGGCATAAATATGGATCTCTTCCAGTCAGTTGGCTAGGTAGCTGTCTTCCAAATTTCTTAGCATAGATGAGTGAGCGGTTCTAACACTGCATCCATTTGTTGAAACACCTCAACTGGTATTCCGTCAAATCCTGGGGTCTTGTTTTTCATCAATGCCTTCAGTGCAGCTTGGCCTTCTTCCCTCAGTACCACTGGTTCTTGATCATATGCTACCTCTTGAAATGATGAATGTTAACCAGATCTTTTTGGTACAGTGACTCTGTGTATTCCCTCCATCTTCTTTTGATGCTTCCTGCATTGTTTACTATTTCCCCCGTAGAATCCTTCAATATTGCAACTCGAGGCTTGAATTTTCTCTTCAATTCTTTCAGCTTGAGAAATGCCAAGTGTGTTCTTCCCTTTTGGTTTTCAATCTCCAGGTCTTTGCACATTTCATTATAATACTTTGTCTTCTCCAGCCACCTTCTGAAATCTTCTGTTCAGCTCTTTTACTTCACACCATTTCCTCCTTTCACTTTAGCTACTGGACGTTCAACAGCAAGTTTCAGAGTCTCTTCTGACATCCATTTTGGTCTTTTCTTTCCTTCCTGTCTTTTTAATGACCTCTTGCTTTCTTCATGTTTGATGTCATTCCACAACTCGTCTGGTCTTTAGTCATTAGTGTTTAATGAGCCAAATCTATTCTTGAAATAGCCTCTAAATTCAGGTGGGAGATATTCAAGGTCATACTTCGGCTCTCGTGGACTTGTTCTAATTTTCTTCAACTTCAACTTGAACTTACACATAAGCAATTGATGATCTGTTCCACAATCAGCCTGTGGCCTTGTTCTGACTGATGATATTGAGCTTTTCCATCGTCTCTTTCCACAAATGCAGTTGATTTGATTTCTATGTATTCCATCTGGTGAGGTCCACGTGTACAGTCGCCGTTTATGTTGGTGAAAAAAGGTATCTGCAGTGAAGAAGTCCTTGGTCTTGCAAAATTCTATCACCAAGACCATACTTTTCCAACTACTGTTCCTTCTTTTTTGTTTCCAATTTTCACATTTTAATCACTAGTAATTATCAATGCATCTTGACTGCATGTTTGATCAATTTCAGACTGCAGCAGTTTGGTAAAAAATCTTCAATTTCCTCATCTTTGGCCATTAGCGGTTGGTGTGTAAATTTGAATAACATTTGTATTAACTGGTCTTCCTTGGAGACATATAGATATTACTCTATCACTGACAATGCTGTACTTCAGAACAGATCTTGAAATGTTCTTTTTGAGACTGAACGCAACGCCATTCATCTTTAATTTTTCATTCCCGGCATAGTAGACCATATGATTGTCCAATTCAAAATGGCCAATACCAGTCCATTTCAGCTCACTAATGCCTAGGATGTCAAGGTTTATGCATTCCATTTCATTTTTGGCGACTTCCAATTTTCCTAGATTCATACTTTGTACGTTCCACATTGCAATTATTAATGGATGTTTGTAGCTGTTTCTTCTCATTTTGAGTCATCCACATCAGCAAATGAAGGTGCTGAAAGACTGACTCCAACCATGTCCCTAAGGTTGACTCTAATTTGAAGAGGCAGCTCTTCCCGAGTCGTATTTTGAGTGTCTTCCAACCTGAGGGGCTCATCATCTGGCACTATATCTGTTCTGCTGCTATTCATAAGGTTTTCACTAGCTAATTTGTTCAGAAGTAGACTGCCAGATCCTT